AACTTTTTACAATGGTTTCACTCCATAGTTGCCATATAAAAATGTCGTTTGAACCATTTTACCAAGGTCTAATGATCTGACATATACCATATTTTGACAGTAGTGAAATGAAACAAAGTCACCAATGTTTCACAGTGAAATCACTACTGTAATACTAAGTTCTCACTGTTGACCATAGAGGGAACTACTGACTTTCTATAGCATTTTCACCGTGACCACAAAACCGCCAGGGAAGCAAAATACGATAAAAAAATTTAATACAATGTTATAAATTGATTCACTAGAACTCTATAAATTTTTTTAAATTGCTCATAGTGCATGTTATAGGGTAAATGCACCAATTATTGACCGATTAAGGTTTTCTTTTTCTGTACTAAGCTATAAAAAATCTATTAACCTACTGAAAACAATTTGTAATGGATTTCATTAAAATTAAATACTTAATTAATAATAATGAATAACTATTTATAATAAAAATTAACAAAATTATATTAATTTTGTTATTTGAATGTTGAAATACTAAAATCACCAATTATTGACCGAAGAAACCCAATAAATAACCGAGCGTTCTCCAATTAATTGACCGCTCAAATAATTATAAGTAATTTTGTAAACTACATGTATGTAATTAAATTTATGCAGTATTTTTGAAGTATTAACGACATCTTTAACAAAACTAAACATATAATATAATTTTGAATCGTACTTTTTTATAAAATAATATAAATAATAGCAATAATTAACATAAAGTCACATTTCTTTAGGTCACAAATATTCACAAATTCATTTTGATGACGATAATTCTTCTGATTCACTTGAAATTTTTTTATTCTTCTCCTTCTTTTTTTCAATTAAAGCTTTTTTACTAGCTTGTAACTTTTTTTTATTTTTTAAATTGCTTAGCAATTTTTTCTTCTCAAAATTCGTTCTTTGATATAACCGTTCATTAAAAAAATTAGAACAAAATAAAATTTAATAATCAAGAAAGATTTTAAGTATTATTTTAATTATAAATATACATTTTATAATGATTATTTTTATATTTACAAAATATTGAATGACTCAAGTACTTCAAACACTTGGCAGATTTAATTTTGAAGTTAAAAAGTTAGTATTATAAATATACGGTCATTAATTGGATTGTGATAAAATCAGAGGGTCTAATAAATGATCGAATGAATTTTTTACTGGGTAAAGGACTTCTGACGGATCCAATAGTTGACCGGTCTTAAAATAATATTAAAACTTATAATTTAACTTTATTTTTTCAAAAAAGTTGGAATCTGATCTTTAATTAACATAATAAAACTAAAATATTTTATATTATGCCGATAAATATCACTAAATTAATGATGAAATGCACTCACTCTCCAATTGTACGCTAGTTATTTTTGACCGCTTTATGGTTGGTTGCGTTATAAACAAACTCAGAATATTTTTTTAAAGCTATAATCACTGCGCAATTAATTGCGTAATTTTTTATTAAGATGATTAAATGCCATATTTTTTTATTTTAATACTTTAAGAAAAAAAACCCTTGTAAAATATTAATTAATTAACTTTTTTATACATCGGTAAACTAATTGGTGACCGGTCAACAACTGGTGCATTTACCCTATGTAAAATTAGAAAATCACTAAAAAATAAAAAATAAATTTTTTAATTGAAAAATGCAATATTAATATTCGAAAATAATAGTTGCGTTTTTAAACGTTGGAAGTGAGTTTTCTGTATTATTTTTCCAATATCATTTCATGTCGTCGACCACATTGATGTATTTGATGAAAATTTCATTTTATTGATTTTAATTAGGAACATCTTGGAGACAATGACGAACATTTATTTACAACTAATGTTGGAATGAATATAAGAGTTATGGATCTAAAGAAGCTTGTTCCGCCAAATAAATTAAATGATGAAGTAAGTAAGAACCTTAGCTTCGTAATTCTTCTATTGTCATTGAAATCAGTTGAATAATAAAATCCTATGTATTGTCTTTAGTGTCGCAAAAATAACACATGAAATATTTTATTTTACAAATAACTAGGTAACCTGACAGACGTATTGTGTAAATAGTCTACAAAATAGTCATTAAGATTAACAGATAAATATTTTATGCTAAAACTTCTTCATTACTTAATGTAATAGAAGTGATGAAATAATTAAATTAATTAAAAATAAAAAAATTATTCGGTTAACTTTGTTTGAAAAAGAAGATTAATAATCAATCATTTTTGCTACTCTAAAGATCATTGAAAAAAATCAGATTACATAGATATAAGAAGTTAATCTCAAGAAGCTATTTAAATTCTATTTTTTTTTAGGTAATTAATCTTTACTTAAAAATCATTTCAAATGTGTCATTGGTGGATACTTATGTATTCGACACTCATTTTTATCCGCAATTGAACAAAGGTTTTACATATGTCGAAAAATGGACTAAAAACGTAAAATTTTCTTATATTCTATTATATTATAACTAATTCAACAATTTATAAAAGCTTACAATAAAATATTCCATATTTTAGGTTGACATTCTAGCAAAAAATATTATTTTCATTCCAATCCATTTGGGAAACCACTGGACGTTATGTGTCGTCGATGTAACCGATTCTACTATTTGGTACTACGATAGCCTTGGTGGAAAAAATGAAAAAACTTTAAACGTAAGTATATACGGGGTATTCCATGCTAAATCGACCACTTTTGAACTCGACCCCTTTAGATTGAGCTGAAACTTTATCATTCTTTTCTACCTTTAGAAAAACATTTTTGGGAATTTTTTCAAATTTTTTTTTCAAACCCAAAAAAAGTTTTGAATTTTCCAAAAAAGTGGCTGTTTAATTTTCAAATAGCCATAACTTTTTTAGACATTGACCTTTGGGTAACTGTTTTTTTTTTAATTTTTGTTTTTGAATTAACTTTTCCAAGAAATACAAAAAAAAAAAATTAAATATGATCAATTCTATAAAATAATCGGGTTTTTTTTTTTTTTTTTTTTTAATATAAAAATCGTTATTTTTTCAAAATTGGTAACTTATTTTTTTATTTTTTTTTCTCAAAAAAAACTTCAATCTATTTCATAACTATTCCCGCTCATTCTGGGCAGGGCTGATTTTTTTTTATTTAATTGAACAAAAATTTGTCAAATTTTCTAAAATAGGAAAAAAAATTTTTTTTTCAATTAAATAAAAAAAAATTAGCCCTGCTCAGGATGAGCGGGAATAGTTGTCAAATTGATTGAAATTTTTTTTGAGAAAAAAAAAATAAAAAAAAAAGTAACAAACTTCGAAAAAATAACGATTTTGCTCAAAAAAGTCGATTATTTTATTGAATTGATCATATTTATTTTTTTGTGTATTTTTCTGGAAAGTTCATTCAAAAACAAAAATTAGAAAGAAAATGTTTTTCAAAAGGTAGAAAAGAATGATAAAGTTTCAGCTAAATCTAAAGGGGTCGAGTTTAAAAGTGGTCGATTTGGCATGGAACACCCTATATCCATTACGGATCAGAAAAAATAAATTTTTTTTCTATACATTTTCATTGCAATTTATTTTTTAAGATTATTGAGACATACCTAACTACAAAAGAAAAACAGCAATGTCCGAAAGAATATTCTGCTGCAAAGCCGAGGAAATGGGCAAAAAAGCATGCTAAAGTACGTATTCAATTACTGTTGTATTATTTAAATTCTCTGTAATTTACGAATTTAGAAAAACCATTAAACGCGGTTTTCCTAATACATGTTAGTAATGATTAAACAAAAATAATAGAAGTATATTATTTTTTGGATCTTAGAACAGGAAGCAATTATTTTTGTAATGTTTTCTTTATGATTTAAACGTGATAGAAACGATACGAAGAAAAAAATGAAAATACTGGTTTAAAATCTTAAAAATTTACCAATCAATAGTCTATAGGAACATTTTACGATAATAATTTAAAAAATTTTCAAACAACGATGTTTTAGGACTACTATGATTTTTTGAGAAATTTCAAAACAATTTTCGAAAAACACTTTTTTAATTTGTCAAATAATTGTAATTCAAAAAAATTAAACTTTCGTCTTACACAGAAAGAAAGGTTTACTTGAGCCAAGAAAATATTTTTCTTCATAATTATTTACTTGGGCGAAAAAAAAAATTTTTTTGACACAAGAAATTTCACTTATTCTAACAAATCACTTCTCTTGCTTCAAGAAATACGTTTCTTGATCCAAGACAATTTATTTAAGTCAAGAAAATTTTTTTCGTTTTGAGAAAATTTCTCTCTTGTTCCAAAAAATTAAGTTCTTGACAGAAGTAAATTTTCTTGTCTTGAGAAAATTTTTCTCTTGCTCCAAAAAATTAAATATTTTGATAGTAAATTTTCATTAACATTTCTATTGATTAACATGTCAAATGGAAAGATCAAATAATATTGAATCATTTTTTTTCATTCAATATGTATAATTGCGCGCTAAAATAATCTAAAATGGGTATCAAATATTCAAGAGAAAAATTTTCTCAAGATGAGAAAATTTTTCTCTCAGCTGAAGTAGATGTCGCTGCTTCCCTAAAGTATCTAAAAATCTTGATCCAATATAAAAATTTACTTGTATCAAGTAAAATTTTTTTCTCAGATGAAGTAGGTGTCGCTGCTTCCCTAAAGTATCTAAAAATCTTGATCCAATATAAAAATTTCTTGTATCAAGTATTTATGATAATTTGAATTAAGAAAAAATTACTTCCACCAAGAATAGAATTTCAAGAAAAATTTTTACTTCGGCCAAGACAACTTCGGTCTTCCTTTGGGCGACCGAAAATTTACTTGAGCCAAGAAATTTTTTCTCCAGTCAAGAAAATTTTCTTTCTGTGTAGATACGATTATTAAATTCAAATTAATATCTTGGATAAGTCAAGAAGAATTTTCTTGTTTCGATTCATAAAAATCGCATATCAAATTATTTTTTAATTTTGCTAAGTCGAATTTTTGAAAGCTGTAAATAATTAAATTGTGTTTGACACAAAATAGAGATATTAAAAATAAAAAATGTATTGAACTCTGTAATAGATTGTTTAAAAAAAAAAACAAATTTTTTGAATTTTTTGTTGACCGTCTTTTTGCTCAAAATCTACCCCCTTCCTCATTATTCTATTAAAATCGTTACACAATATAGATCTTTAGAATATTATTTTGTTTCTATGACATGTTTATATCAGTCAAGTGATTTTTCAGAATATTCCTCTGCAGAATAATGATTATGACTGTGGCGTATTCGTTTGTTATTATGCAAAGCAGTTGTCGATGTTAAAACCGATTACGAATATAAATACTGCTAACATGAAACCATTCCGAACGCTGATGCTTCAGGACATATTGGAGACGTACGAACCATTGTCACCATCAGCGAATGATCAGAATAAACAACTTTCTGAAGAAACGATTGTAAGTTTTCATTGTTATCATATATTTAATTATTTTAGCCGTTTATAATATCGCGTTACAAATACCATAAGGGCATATAAAAATTATATGCCTTTATGGCACCCGGGAACCATAAGAGCGTATAAATTTTTTTTTTGCATTTCTCCACATTTCGGACAAAACTACGTCGATTCCCGAAAAAAAATTTTTTATATACCCTTATGGCTATTCACCAGGACCTTTTGCCGGTATATGCCCTTATGGCATCTGAAACGCGATATTTCTTTCACTTAATACTCGGCGCTGAATGCTTACACTGAAATAGAACTTGGGTAAGAATGATTAAAAAATAATTATTAAGATTCGATGAATGTAAAATGATTGTTAACTGAATAACAATTATTTTAAACATATGACAACAATATCTACAATTAATTGATATTTTTTCAATTCTTTGGTTCCAAAAAAGCATACAAGCATTTAAGTATACATTCTCAGTTTCAAAAAATTGGAAAATTCCAACTTAGTTAGCCGTGTAAGCCGGTAATATAAAAATTATATTACCGTTACATCAATGAAGGGAGTATATTTATACCAATCGGCCAATTACCACCAAGGCAGCTTAGGATTATTCACACACCAGCAAACAGGGTTACAATGTACTGCTATCGCAACATATGCGATAGCAGCATTGCCTAATCAGTTGTCAAATGTAACTGCAAAAGACTTAGACGATATTCTTATTGGTGGTGACAAGTATTATTTACAATGTAGAGTCGCCGCTAGTGAAGATATGCTGAATATAGATGAGCTATTATCAAATATTCTGATTAAAAATCAGCTTGTGGTAATGGCTCAAAAAAATGATGTTTGTTATGGGTCATTGGTCACGCAAAATCCTTTAAGCTGCTTATATACGAATATAATCCAAAAAGTTCTACCAAAGATTGAGAAAAACTCAGGATTTTTGTTTATTACTCAAGGAAAAACTGTGGCATTTAAATATCTTAATTCGCCACATTCGAACGAACAACATTTTTTCCTTTTTAACTCTCACTCAGTGGACAAAAATAACTGTTTAGTAGAGAACAACACTAACGGCAAAGCTCAACTTTTTCAATGCTGTGGGCCATTAGCATTGGCTAAGGCATTGTTAGCTGGGGCAAATTTGAATTGTGAACCAAATAATAGCTTTTGGGGAATTTATCAAATAAAATTCTCAATAAACACATAAATTCAAAAGTTAAATGAAAATATTTCTATATTTTTACCTATGCATGCATAAAAAAAATAAATTATTTTGTTTCGTATTTATAATTTAACAAAAATAAAAGTTATTTTTTTATATTGGTAAAGATAATTTATGTAATGTTTCGTAAATTTAAATATATTTTAAAATACATTAAAAGTTCAAATGTTATTTTTCAATTTAATAAACTTTTCCTCTCATGTATTAACGTAGCTTGTAAAAATATTTTTTAGCACCTTTGTATCTTTGCAACGCATCGCTTAGGTATTGAAATTTGTTCTTTTCGCCGTTGTAAGTTTTTCTGTTAGTTGATTTTTTTATTTTTATCACATTCTGTCATCTTTTTAAATGTAAGGTTAGCATTAATATTTTATTTAAATTTATGATTTCTATTTTGATGTTACAATTATTTATTATAAGTTAATAACAAAAAAAATACATTGAAAATAATTGATTTATAATAGGATTAAGAAATTAGACAAAATTGTAACTTTAAATACGAGAATTTAAATCTTAGCAGTTTTTCAATAAGAATTATCCACGAGCGCTCTCTGTTCTCAAAAATATTAAATTTCAAGAAATTCAAATTTGCCGCGGGCGTAGTAATACCAGTTGGAAACTTTTTTCAACTCGCGCATGCGCAATTACGTTCGCACAAGAGTAGGGGAAACTATTCCGAAAAAACCCGAGGTACACTCTCTTGTTGCGACAACTATACTCTCAAGAATGGCAGCGCAGCAGTGCATAATATTATGCGGATTGACTGATAAAGACTTATCTAAATCGTTACCTCTTTTTATGCAATTTTGCAAAGACATTTGTAGACATAGCTCGACAGAACTCCAATCGGTAAGGACAGCTGAAAGTTTGAAAATCCGAGGTATTACAAAAACTAGAATGCATAAACACGTGTCGGACTCTCATTTTAGTCGTAATAATCAAATTGCGGAAGTCGCACCAGTCACTCAAAACTTCATTGAAAGTAGTCAACCCGCTGATAGTTCTTGGTCTATACCTATTCCAGAGGTCAGAGACATATCAACGGTATATTCTGGTAATGCTCAAAGTCACCAGCTCACCCAAGAGATGTCCACCGGGTTCATGCTGGCGCCTGAACACTGTTCTACGTTCGAAGAATCATTGAATATTGGTTTGGATTCGAGCCAATGTGATGAACAACTTAACAAGTCACTATCGGAAGAAATGAACCGGCCAGACGATGTACAGATAGATGGTGAGCGTAGACTATCTATTCCCGCAGTGCCATCATTGTCCAGAGATTCCCTGACTTTCACCTTGAATGATATTGACACAGAAACAAGGGACAGATGCATAAATATAATTATGTGCAAAACATCAACATTGGAGAACTACGCGTTGAGCGAGTTCGCTGATTTACTTCAATTAACACCACGAAAAGAAAGAAGTCGTAGCTGCTCACCTGAAAGTAATCGATTAAACAACGCAAATGATGGAGAGGATGGAATACCTATGAAGTATGAAATACATTTCGATTTATCAACGTTTACCCGGAGTGAAATTGAAAAAAGACTGAAACGAGCAACCCAAGAAATAAAGGGGGTTAATAAAAAATAAAAAAAACATCTTTTGCATTCACGACGCGCCCGATAATATTGATGAAAATATAAAAAAAAACAGGTGATATATTTAGTTGTACCGTTTGTAACTATCAAGCAACGAGAAGACATTACGTTAAAATTCATATCCAGACGAATCATTCGGAGAGATGTTTGTATCACTGTCCGATTTGTAATGCAAGTTACAAAAATAACAGATACAAGTATAAAGGTCATCATATTGCAAAATGCATTTATCAGTGTAAAGAATATTTAGAAAAAAATAAATTATTATTATTATTATTATTATTATTATTATTATTATTATTATTATTATGTTATTAAATGCTCAGGGGGGTTGTCCCCGGAGTCCGACTCTCCGAGGGCCCAGCCTGAGCTCCATCCATTACTGCTGGACCACTCCGCACAACAAGGCGGTTAGTGATCACAGCAGGCCAAAGTCATTTTCCTAAGTAGACGGAGGGAACCTAGTATCACAGCCTTCTGCATCCTGACTGCCAAGAACTCAGCTTTTGATGAGCAAGCTGGAACTCTGGCAAGTGAGGATACAAAAGACTGTTTAATCCCTCCAAGGACGCCGACAATCAGGACGACAAGCGTGACACGGTAACCTGGGTAAAGTTTACCAATTTCAAACAGGAGATCCTGATATATTTGTCTATTGTGCTCTTCTTTGGCTGAGATGTTGTATTCAGCCCGGGCCGCAAACTATATGACATAAATGTCACGAGTAGCCTTATCGAAGAGCACAATATCAGGTTTGTTGGGATCTATCCGCCGGGTTGTTGCAAATGACATGTTCCAATAGATTTTGCAACTGTCATTCTCAACAACCTGGGAAATATCTCCTGGCAGATAAGGCAGCACTGGTGTCACATCAATACCGTAGCAATGACGAAGATAATAGTACAAGATAATATACAACTCCGGTTATGTGCAATGCGTTTCCACTTCCAATGTGAAAACGCGTTCGCCAGAGCTCCATTGTACGCCGAATGCATTCCACTATTTCAGGATTGACCCCTAGGCACTTGAGGAGATATAGGATCAACTCGTGAGGAGTTGAGTCAAATGCCTTGCGATAGTCGATCCAGGCCATTGAAAGGTTGCGTTGATAGTAGATCGCATCTTGTATGACACATCGATCAACTATCAAGTTCTCCTTGCAACCTGACAGGCCTCTTTTGCTGCCACGCAGTTCATATATCTGTTGCCATACAGGTTCTATCTCCTGCAAAATACGGTTGTTCAAAATTTTTGTAAAAATTTTATAAACCGCATTCAAGCAAGTGATAGGCCTGTAATTCTTTGGGTCAGACAAGTCACCTATTTTAGGTATCAGTACGGTTCGCCCTTCCACAAGCCAGTCTGGAATCGGTTCATCAGCCCTAATGTACGATGTAAATATGCGGGCCAGATAAAGGTTTGAAGAAGAGGCTGTGCATGGACTTGTCCTATTGTTCGCCAAGGGGTAGTTTTTCCTCGGCGTTCCTGATGACGCTTTTGAATTCCTCCTTTCGAAGTTCCATGAGAGCGTTTATTTCTCCAAGACCGAGGGTTCTTGCCGCATATATTGCTGCCTTATACAATAACGACCCTTCATGCGCATTTTCATGTTTATGTACAATTTGCATAAGAAAGTCATTCTCGTCTGCAGTGAAATTGACAACCTCGAATGTTAAACCCAGGACCAAACGATCGTGAAGCCTCTCCAAGCTCTGCAAACCTCTCCCACCGATGGACCGGGACAGGTATAATCTGGCGACTGATGAATTGGGGTGCATGCTCCGATTCATATTGATAACCTTACGGGTTTTGGTGTCGAGATTATTATTATTATTATTATTATTATTATTATTATTATTATTATTATTATTATTATTATTATTATTATTATTATTATTATTATTATTACTATTTTCTTTTTCGTTTCGGTGATGGTTGGTAGTCCGATGATGTTGATGTAGATGCGATAATTTGTAGTTTTAATCACTATGTACTGAGAAAATCTTATAAATGGAAGTGAAATTATAAACTAATTTTAAAAAAAATTAAAAAATCTCATAAATAAATAAGGTTAAAAATATAAAAAAATTAAATTTGAATTTGAGTTTAGTAATCAAGTAACAAAAAAGTCCTGAAGTATATTTGTTATAACATTATTAGTTTATGAGATATAAGCATTGTAAGAAATAAACAATGCAAATTTTTATAAAAAAATGCGTGTAGTTAGAGAACTAAAAAAGATAAACGTTAGTTTTAAAATTTATAAGAAAGGTTAACTCATACTCTACAAAAACGACTTAGAGGTCGAAAGCTGTATCTGCAATAGTTGCAAAGTTACAGCAATTTGTTTGTTGACAAATCGAGTCAGTGCTTGGACTTTGTCGTGCTTCAAAATCCAAATGTTTTTTAAGAAATCGAAAAAAAATTTTTTTGCCATATTGTTGTAGGTTGCTGTTTTTATGATTTTTTTATCTTTTAGAAAAAAATTAAAATAAAAAAAAAATTTGTTTATAACAAATTGTTAAATAAATAAATAAATAAATTGTTGACAGAAAAAAATTTTTTTTTGCCATTATATTCAGAAATGAAAATTATGATTTAAAAAAAAAACTATTTCTTAATCATTTATTTAAACAATCAAAAAATGAAAAAAACGATTACAAACAATAAGATATTGTTTTTAAGAAAAAAATTTTTTTTTTTTAAATCATAATTTTCTTACGCTAAGAATGTAGTGAAAAAAAATTTTTCAAAAATATGTAATTAATTCATTTGTTTATAAAAAATTTATAAACAAATGCATAAAAAAATTTGAAAAATAATCATTTAGTGCGTAATAACAATATAAAATTAGTCATAACTTAAAATTAAAAAAAAAAATTATTTAACATACATTATTCAAATTTTTAATTTTTTTGTTGCTTTAAAAATTAATAATTAATGAAATAAAAATGTTTTAGTAACTTTGATAACGCCATATCGTTGAGTATGTTTATAAAAAGGGGTCCAAGAAACAAAAAATTTATAGATTAATTATTTAAACTTTTATACCGCCTTTTATGACAACACAAACCCGTAAAAAAAATGTTAATTAACAATTGAATAATTTTTTAAAAAATGGTGATACAACTTTCATTACCGCGGAATCATATTGTTTGAAGTGTCTAGATGACACCAGAATTTTTTCAAATTTTTTAATTAATATTTAATTGCTTAAAAAAATTATTAAGAAACTATGCTCACTAGAGAGGCGGCGCGCGCATGCCGAAACTACCGCGCAAAAGCTGATTTTCAACGGTTAATTAAAATTATAAACATTGGAGCTACAATTTCAGGAGTCGAGAACTTTTTCACTAAAATTTTCTGCTCTTTCAGAATCTT